GGTCCTGGGCCGGGAGTCGGCCGCGGAGCTGCTAGCCTGCGGGGGCAGCGAGGTTAACCCGGCAGGCTTAGTGCTCCTCTTCTTTTACTTTTTCTTTTTGGCCTTGCTGGCAGGCGCCCCACAGGCCCCTCCGCCTACTCTGTGCTCTGCAGGCCTTCCCGCAGCAGAACAAAGGCTGCAGTTGAACGCCGCGGTGCACAGGGCCGCCTTGTGGCCAGGCTGGCCGCTGCGAAAACAGAGGTCACTACGGTCAACCTCTGCGGTGTACTTCGCCCGGACGTGCCGTTTTTCCAGGCACCGGAAGCACTGCAAAGCCCGGGGCTGTAGAAGCTTGGTTTTTGCCGCCACCCAGCCTACCAGCAATCTGCCACTATCAGCGATCTTATTCGCCGACGCCACAGGGCACCGAACCCAGACCATGGCGAGTCCGGAGGCGTCGGTGCGTATATCGCCAGCCCGCACCTTGTCCGGTGGACACTCTCCGCTTCTGGCAACGGCCGCCACCACCTCCTCAGAGGTCACGGAGTCGTCCAGGCCAGCAATCCGCACCTCTGCGGTTTTCATTGGTCTGGAGACCCGGACGTCCTCAGGGTTGAGGACCTCCCTCATTTTGGCGGCCAGTGCGTCCGCCTTTTTGGCACTGCTGCTCACAGTGCCAGCCACCTCAAACAGCCGTGCACCCGTGGAAGCCTGCCTGAGGGTGACGGACTGAAGGCCAAGATCTGATAATTTGATCTTGGCCTTGGCCTCAGCGATGACCGACTGGTACGTCACGCCACGCTCCACAGCTTCGGGCTGCAACGTAAGCGTCACGGCATTGGACCGCGGAACGTGCACAGTCGGTCTCTTGCGACCGCCTTTGGCAGCCCGCCGCGCAGGTTGACGAGCCGTATTTGCGGTTCCGCCTGGGGCGCATGCAGCTGCTGCGGCCTTCTTGGCGGCTTTGCGGGCCTTTTTGCGGCCCACGACTTTTGCCCAGATCTCACCCTTAGACCCGACAGTCGTGGGCTGCTCGCTCGAAGGAGCTCCCTCCGCGGGCTTTTTGTTACCCTCCGCGGGCTTCCCCTTTTGAGACGCAAGTCTCGGCGGCTCCTCAGTTCTCCGAGTATCCGCCGCCAAAGGCGGACGGAGGATTTCCGCCGGGAGACGCCGTGAAATCGCCTCCAGCCGAGCGTTAACCATGCTCCCGCACTGGAGCATGCAGATCCGGACAATGCGCTCGACCTCTTCGTCAGTACGAGGGCTTGCTGGTCGCGGTGCGGGAGTCGGGGCCACTACAGGTGCGGCATCGGTGGACGTGCGTCGCTGCTGCTCTTCGCTCAGCGCAGCGACTTGCCGTCGGAGGTCCTCCAAGTCATTTCTGAGGCGGCTGTTTTCCTCCTGTAACTTTGCGACCTCGTCAGAGGCCGTTCTGTTGAGGAGGATGCCAACCGCCTCCCTAATATCCGCGGCAGCCTCCTTTAAGCCACGGGTGAACGTGCCCTTCAGGCTGCCAGACTTGGTGGCAACCTTCAGGACTAAGTCCACCCCATCCAGAGCCAGCTGGCTTAAGGCCACCGCAGATGGCTCTCCCCCTTCCGCCGCAAGAGCAGCTCGTCGCTCGCGAGCACGTCGGGCCATTTCCGACACTTCGTCGGCCGCGACGGCTTTACGCTGCTCCCTCTTGGCGGCGTTGAGCTCCGCCTTTGAGCTCCCCAGCGAGGCACAGCTTTCACCGCCATCGCCAGGGTCCTCCGTAGTGAACCCCATGTCGCTCTCTGCTTCACTAGACGCCGAGGTATTGAAGCACACGAATCGTCCGTGCTTATCCCTCCGCGGCTGCGAAGCACTCGCCCCTCTCGATGCCTGCCGACCCCTCCCCGAAGTCGGCAACTTGGGAGCCGGCAGGCCTTCCTCTTCTGAAGACCGGCACACTGGACGTTTCCTAGCAGAAGACGTCCCACGCGACCGATTTCCACCGCTTCCAGTATCTGATACTGCCTCCTTTTCAACCTCTACGTTTTTAATGTTTATATATTTTTTCATGTTTTATCCCACGAGTGTGGAGGAAATAGCAGTCCATCCGAGCAGTGCCTCCTGTGCCCGGATAAGCCTATGCGTAACCCGTCAAGGGTGTCGGCCGGTACCCCGACGGGGGCAACGCTAACGACTGAACATTTACCCATCAGCCATGCAGCTCCTCACGGCGTGCCACGCTTGAGCTTCGGGTGATTTTTTAAAGAGGTTATCATCCTCGCGACTCCAGGCGGTTAAGCCAAGAGCCCTCGGCCCCTAAGGCGCCGCGAGACGTGATCCACGACACGCCAGAGGGATTCCGAGGTTCGAATGGTGGCAGAGTCGATATGGGTTCTTCCCATGCCTGCCCAGAGACCGGCTGAGGGAACACTGAGCCCATTCAGTTTCCTTTTTTTTACAGGGTGTGGTCCCTGAAAATCCCGCAATTACGGGTTGCCCGGCGTCGGCAAAAGCCGAGTGCACCTGGCACCTCACCGCGCATGTCACATTCTCTGTTCCTCTCAACGGAGAGGATACAGGAAGCAACTAGAAGGCCCTCCATTATCCAAACAAGCCCTCAGCCAGCCAGTTTTGGTCCGCGACGGTTTCGCGCTACCACTCATATCTGAGTGGCGTTCCCCTATCCGCCACCTGGGGACGCGCCCAATGGGAGTTCTGGCAACTCCACACGGGAACCTAACCTAACCTTTTTTTTTACATGGGGAAATGCCTACGCATACCCGCCTCGCGGGGGCAAGGACAGGTTATGTCGGACTCGCACCGACTAAAACCCCATGGTGTTCCACCCTCGTCGCATATTGGCAGGGCCACGGGAACGCTTTCGCACACTTCCGCGGCCCCACCTGCGCTGGCCGCCCCATGGCGGCCCCTCCCCGGGAGAGGACCACTCCTCCCCCATTTCCCTCTCAGGTAAGGCGCACCAGAACACATGGCGCGCCCTCCTCCTCGGCCTCCAATTTCATATGCGCCACGGACGCCCCCGCGTCCGATGCGCGAAGGCCATGGGTTCAGGAAAAACTAGCACTCAGTAGCACCAGCCTTCCTGACCCTAGCGGCGGATCTGGTCTATGGCTCCGCCGCCAACCAAGATTCGGCTGCGGAGGGCAGGGAGAGCGGCGCCTCGCAATACCGGCACTCCTCTCCCCCCGCAGCCCCACCACCACAGCATCAATAAACGGTGCGGCCCCGTCTGAGTCGCGGAGGATAGGGCGAGTGGCGCATCGCCATACCAACACTCCTCTTCCTCCGCGACTCCACCTCGGCTGCAGCGGTAGAGGGTGCGGACTCCCCTCTCACCGCAGCCCCCCGACACACATCCGAAGTGGGCTCGCCAAGCCCACTCGGAGTGGCCACCTCGGGCCGGCCCTACACCACGGGCCAGCCAAGGGGTTCCTCTTTGTTCACCGTGGGTGACTAAGCCACGGCTACTAAGCCCCCCCGCCACGACAAGGCGGGAACCCGTTCGGGGGGGAACCTAACCTAACCTAACCTTTTTTTTTTTTTTTTTTACGGGGGGAAATCCTCATGGACTACCTCCGCCTGGGGAAATGCGGAGGGGCGTGCCGGACTCTTACCGGCTAAAACCACCCCGGTGTCTCCTCACACGTGCGCGTGGGGCCGCGGGAATCCAAATTCTTCCGCAGCCCCACACTAGTGCTGGCCCGGTCTGTCCAGGCCTCGTCTCCTGCACGGGGTAGTGAGGTGTTCAACTACCCCGTGTATCGCCTCAGGGGCGCGCGCCGACACCCGCGCGCGCCTCCGCCTCGGGTCCATCGAGTAGGGGTGGCGGTTGCTTCCCCAAGTCCCTCGCCCCTGGACCCATTTATGGGGGCCGGAAAAGGGCGTTCTCCGCCCTTCTCCTGCGCCCGGTGCGCCTTCTGCGGCCAGGGAAGGGAGTCGAGATCTCCCTTTCCCGTTCCGCAGTTTCCTTCTGCGACATCACGTCCTCGCAGAAGGACACCACCGCATCCCACGACTCTGCGCTACCGACCATCTTCCGCACTAAGGCCGGCAGCGACAGATCGCCTCCTACTTTATTTGTGAGGACACGGCGCTGCTCCTCCCAAGCTACACACTCGGCGAGCGTGTGTTGCGCCGTGTCCTCCCCGCAATGGACGCAGTGGTGGCACCGGGCGTCCGGCTCCCTGTCTATGCGGCGCAGGTACTTGCCGAAGCAGCCATGCCCCGACAGCACCTGCGTCACCCTAAACGACAAGAAGCCGTGCCTTCTTCCGAGCCAGTCGTCGAGTACTGGCCGGATCGCCTCGACGGTAACGAGGCCGGCGGTAGGGACCTGACGGAGCTCCTCTCGGCGCAGCGCGATCTGCCGCTGCACCGGCCTCGAGCCCCGTGCCCGCTCTTCCTCGCGCCATCGATATAATGACGCGAGTACTTTCGCCTCTAGGTCCCAGGGCGGGGATCCGGCCAGGACGCAAGCCGCCTCGTAGGAAATCGTGCGATACCCGCGGACGACTCTTACGGCCATCGCCCTCTGCGGCTTACGCAGAATGGCGAGAGTGCTGGCCGTCATGTCCATCGCCCACACAGGGGTCCCATACAGGGCCATGGACCGCACGATACCCACGTACAACCGCCTACAGGCGGCGCTCGGGCCCCCCAAGTTGGGAAGCAACGTTGATAGCGCGCCCGCTGCACCCATCGGCTTGGGCGCCAGCCGCCGGAAGTGGGGTCCGAACTCCCATCGGCTGTCGAGCACCAATCCCAGATACTTCATGGTGGACTCGACAGCTATCCGGGCCCCGCTGACCACGATGTGTGAACCCGGCGGCGGCGCACGTCGAGGGCAATGGAACACCATGGCCTCCGACTTACTTAGGGCCACCTCCAGGCCCAGGCGCCGGATGCGGTTCACCACTTGTGACACCGCAGCCGTGGCAACCAACGCTGCTTCCCTGTGCGAACTCCCCCGGGCAGTGACGAGCGTATCGTCCGCATAACACGTCAAGTCGGCGCACGACGGGAGTTCACCTCAGCACCCAGTCGTAGCCGATGTTCCACAGGAGCGGTCCCAAGACCGATCCCTGCGGAACACCCCACGACATGACGCGCCGACCAGCGCCGTCACGTCCCCAATAGGTAACGCATCTGTCCTCAAGGTAGGCCCCTATTGTGCGGCGGAGGTAGGGAGGCACGCGATGGTAATTCAGCGCCTCTTGAATACAACTCCAGGGTAGGGTGTTGAAAGCGTTGGAGATGTCTAAGGACACCGCCAGCACCACCCCACCCCGGGATACTGTCTCCTCCGCCAGGGCTCTCACGCGCGTAATAGCGTCTATGGTGGAGCGCCCGCGACGAAAACCAAACTGGTTGTCATCCAGGTCCGGCCCCTTTTTGCACAAGTGGCTGACGAGGCGATCTGCGATGATACGCTCAAAAAATTTGCCCGCCTCGTCGAACAGCACTATGGGCCGGTACGCGGACGGTGAGTCCGCGGGGCGCCCCTCCTTCCTGAGCAGGACCAGCCTCCCCTCCTTCCACACACTGGGAAACTGACCCTGCTCGAGACATGCCGTGAAGAGCCCTCTCAGCTGGGGCTCTAGCTCCTTCAGAGCCAGGACGAGAGCTCGACCAGGAACTCCGTCGGGTCCGGGCGCTGTGTTCTTAACCCGGAGTCGCGACACGGCCACTCTCGTCTCTGCTTGCGTCACCTCGGGGACATCGGTGCTCTCCTCTTCTGGAGAGTCTGTGGCTGAGGGCGAAGCCATCGCCGGGGGAACGTGTCCCACTCGCTCAGGGAAGAGAGTCGATAACACCGACTCTAGCAACTGGGGTTGCATCCTTTGTGTTAGTGGAGGCGCCCAGGGACGCAACTTGCCCCGAATCCAACGGTAGGGGCGCCCCCACGGATCCCGATCTAGGGACCCCAGCAGCTCCAACCTAACCTAACCTTTTTTTTTTTTTTTTTTTTTACATGGGGAAATGCCTACGCATACCCGCCTCGCGGGGGCAAGGACGGGTTATGTCGGACTCGCACCGACTAAAACCCCATGGTGTTCCACCCTCGTCGCATATTGGCAGGGCCACGGGAACGCTTTCGCACACTTCCGCGGCCCCACCTGCGCCGGCCACCCCATGGCGGCCCCTCCTCGGGAGAGGACCACTCCTCCCCCATCTCCTTCTCCGGTAAGGCGCACCAGAACACATGGCGCGCCCTCCTCCTCGGCCTCCAATTTGATACGCGCAACAGACGCCCCCGCGTCCGACGCGCGAAGGCCATGGGGCCAGGAAAAACCAGCACTAAGAAGCACCAGCCTTCCCGACCCCAGCGGCTGATCTGGTCTATGGCTCCGCCGCCAACCAAGATTCGGCTGCGGAGGGTAGGGAGAGCGGCGCCTCGCAATACCGGCACTCCTCTCCCCCCGCAGCCCCACCACCACCGCATCAATAAACGGTGCGGCCCCGTCTGAGTCGCGGAGGATAGGGCGAGTGGCGCATCGCCATACCAACACTCCTCTTCCTCCGCGACTCCACCTCGGCTGCAGCGGTAGAGGGTTGCGGACTCCCCTCTCACCACAGCCCCCCGACACACATCCGAAGTGGGCTTCCCAAGCCCACTCGGAGTGGCCACCTCGGGCCGGCCCTACACCTCGGGCCAGCCAAGGGGTTCCTCTTCGTTCACCGTGGTTGACCAAGCCACGGCTACTAAGCCCCCCCGCCACGACAAGGCGGGAACCCGTTCGGGGGGGAACCTAACCTAACCTAACCTAACCTAATAATATTATTATTATTTAAATACCGCTTTTTCCAAATTTTTATCTTACACCGTCCAGAAATTATCAATTTTAAACCTAATTTTTACGAATTATTACTAAAATAATATAATAATAATAAAAATATTATTAGAAAGGTGTAGGGGGTGAAAAGACCTTTCAGACGAGCCCAATTTCGCTGGGTTAGCTGTTTTCGAGATAGCAAAAAAAAAAAAAAAAAAAAACGGTTTCCATTGACGCCATATTGGAAAATTTTAAACCGTTGTAACATTGAAACCCCTTGTGCAAATATATGTGAGTTTGGGTTCATTAGAGTTGTCGTTTAAAGGGCAATTCAGTCAGCATCAGAAACACACTAAAAGAAATTCAAAATTATTTTCGCGTCCAACCATATTTATGAGATAGACCAGAGGAGTTCGAGTCCGGCGAGCCCAAACACGACAATTTTAAGTCAATAAACAACTTGAATAAACAGTTTCAAAATTTTGGTCGGCCATCTTGAAAATATTTGGAGAGCTGTAACTTCTACATTCTTTTAGATAGGATAGCCGTTCTTGGACTCATTCTCTTTGTTTCTTAGAGACCTATCTTGTTTAGGGGGGAAAAGTAAACTAATAAAAAAAAAAAAAAAAAAAAAAAAAATGTCGGATAAATCAAAAAAATCTGCGCCCAGCGGTTCTGAAAGTCACACAGTTGCCAAAAAGAGACCAGCACATACAGCAAAAATTGCAAAAGAGACAAGCCGTGTACCATCTATCGGCGACCTATTGGAGGATGCAACTCAACAACAGCTGAACGTGCCACCTGTGGAAACCTGTGAGGGTCGCACGGGGGAGCAATATACGGATTCGCAAATGGGGGATCAACACGAGAAGCTTGAAGTAGAACCAGTCACGAGCCTCTTTACGTCGCCAAAACTTGACGAGGCGACCACGTCATCCCCAGTTCTAGCGAGAACTTGATCGAGCCTGCTTAGAATACGTACCCAGATACGACAGGCGAAAGCAGCAGAAGCTCAGGAAGCTTTCAAAGCCATGTCCGAGACAGAAGACACAGGCGAGTCTAATGTTGACAGTGGTGACACCAATATCTCCCTCGACGCCTCCACAAGGTCGATAGGTGGTAGCCGTATGCTTCTAAACGAATTGCCTAGACACGCGAATGCAATCTTGCAAAGAGCCAAAGCTGATAGAAAAGTCGGGGAACTTAAAGAGGGAAATTCGTGAGAGTGTAGTTGCGGGTCTGTACACCTTGTACGAGATGATCCTCAAGCTGTCCGACTCGCGCATGCTACACATGCTCGAATCTAGCAAGCAAAAGGCGAATCAGAAAGACTCACTCAAAGACATGCTCGTTTCATGCATGAAACTTTGAGTCAATACGCCACATTAAAAGAGAGCATAGAGAAACTTCAGAAGGAAACTGAGGCAACCCGACTCATTGTCTCGTACGATCTCTGTGAGGCAATTTCAGCCACAAAGCGCGAAATAACAAATATTCGAAGCGAGACAAACTCAAGCCCAAACTTGGCAAGTCAGATGAACGTTATCTCTGAAGAGGTAAAGTTACTTCGAGATAACATAAGCTCTCTCGGTAAATCACCGATTACGGTACAAGATCAATGGAATTCTATCACAGAGGAACTCAAAGAGCTCCGATGCATCATACAGGAGATAGACAGAAATAGAGAACGATTCGAACCTGCTAATATCTCAGCAAATACAGGTGATGTTAATGTTAACACTCAAAAATTTAACGATACTGCCGAGAAACTGCAACAGGAGATAACTGACTCCAAACTTCTGTTAATCTCAGATATATCTGAGTTGAAAAAAGAAGTTAACAGAATAGCCATAGATATTCAAAGTCTATCCTCGACCGCCTTTGACTCCTCGCTCCCCTCGGTACAGGCCAGCTTGGCAGAACTGAGGAGGGAAATGAAGGAGTTGAAAGATACTGCAGTGGACTCGACAGCACCCATTAGACTAGCAATAGAGAGCCTCAGATGTGAGCTTAAAGATAAATCACACGTTGAAAAGACAGAACCAAGAAATACACAATATAAATTGCTAGAGGAAAATGAAATAGATCCTACTCAGCACTCACCAATGCCGCAACGTAAAAAGTTTCCACGCACGTTCTCGGAGGTGGTAGCAAGGCCAAACTATCCAATTATAGTGGAATCGATCGATCCAAGAAGTACAAGTGATGACATCATGAAACAAGTTAAAGGCGGGATTGACGTGGTTGAATTAGGTATTGGCATCAACCACATCAAGAAAGCCAAGAACCAGAAGGTCCTAATCGGTTGCGAGTATGAAGGAGATAGAAACATCCTCCAAGACAGACTCAAACACACAACTGACAACTTAACAGTGTACAGACCAGTCACAAAAAACCCGCTCCTTCGTCTTACAAGAGTTGCCTTCGACTTGACGAATGGAAAGGTCGAGGAAGCTATAATTAAACAGAATACCACACTGCTAAATGACATTACGGCAGAACAAAAACAGTGTTCGCGCAAAACGCTGTTGTCGGAATCGACGTCTAGGGGGTGTGCGGCTCTAGGCGATACCGGTTTGAAGTTCTTCCGAGCGTGGAGTGGCGCGCGGGTCACGAGCGAAAAGTCAGTCGTCCTTAGGCAGTGCTCACGATTGGCACGCCAATTAAGCGCGGAAACTCGGAATAATTAAGCGCGGACAGTAAAAATACGGTCTAGGAATTTTGTGGCGCGTATCCCTACTGGAGAGCTTCCCCGGGACTTATTGGGTCCGACTCAGAATCTGTATGAGTGCATTCGACAATATTAGCTAGTGCGGCCTCTGTATTCTAGAACTAACTGTTGCAACGCGAAACGGTAGTGACCTTTGATCCTGTAAACTCCGTGTGCGTTTTGTGAGTTAACCTTATACCCAGCGATAGTTAGTGGCTTCTGTAAGTTAGTTAATCGTACGATAGAGTTAATTGACTGTCAACGTGACGAAAGAAGAAAGTGACTGTGGGCAACCTCGGAAGGCCCCCTCAAGTTGGATCGATGTCGACGCTCGGGCTGCTGCCGACGGCCAAGGTCTAGGTTCAATCACCATCAGTCACACCCAGATACACATCACATCACATATTTCCCTTTCACTACACAACCACATGTGACCTGACCGACTCCGGAGGGACCAGTCACCTTGGATATAGGTAAGTAAGCTCCGCCTAATTCCTCTGCCGGTCGACTGGCCGTAGTATAGAACGCTCCCCCATATATTTTAGTGTAATTCGAGAGATTCCACGTGGCCACATTGAGGCCCGACCTACGTCTGTTCGGGAAGTCTTCTGCTCATGGGCCCCAGAGGATTGGATCCTTTAAGGGAGCAGCCGTAGGCCGTAACATACTGGTAGCAGAGCGCGGTTCCGGGTTCGATTCCCGGTCGATCCCGACCATAGGTCGGGATCGACCGGAAATGTTTGATAAACATTAAACAATTCTGGTGGCAGGGAGCGTTGGTTTGATTGGTTTAATTTGTATCTACAATCACGCCCGTCCGTAATACGTAAAAATATTTTTTGTACGTAAAAATAGAATTATTTCCCTTTGTTGTTTGTTGCTTGCCTTTTTTTTTTGGTTAGTAGGTAGTTTGAAAAGCCGCGCCCTAGGTTGCGCAAGCGGGAGTTTTTCTAGAGATATACGTCATGTAGGTAGATGGTGATTTTTACGTAATCGGTTAATTATCGTTGTCGGATAGTTGTAGTGGATTACTTATCGAAGGGTCGATTTCCGAGCTAGGCATTTTTTGTTGATCGACCGTGATGTGTATCTTATTTGTATTGTAATTTGTATTTGAACTAAAGAGTAGTAATTGTATTTGCGCAATTTGAATTTAACTTGATTTGATCGCACTAGTATTTGTTATTTGTTAATTTGATTTGTGTCTTTTCTTTTGTGCTAACTTGTATTTGGTTGATACGTAGTAATTCGTATTTGTGTAATTTCTATTCTACGCGATTTG